TCAAAAGGCAATTTAGACTTCCATATGGTTGCCATCGAAGCTAACAGATGTCTAGCAAATTAAAACAAAAATTATGACTTATAAACTGCTGATGTATCATCATTCCAGAACCTTGTGCGACTTACAGTGAATCATAAGATAAGGCTTCTGACTTGATGCCCCCCCCAAGGTTCCCTCAATCTCCCTCCTCGCTGAATTGAAGCCCTGTGGAAGCAAATTAGATGCAACATTCTGCCATCAACCCTGGATAAACTCCACTGAAAGACACAATATAATATTTGAGAGCACATCAACAGAGAAATTTGGCCTCAAGTCTCCAAAGCTGTTCTAATCCTTACACAGCAAAGGAAACAGAAAAATGACTTGTTCTCCCACTAATCCCATTCTTCCCATCGATCCATGGAGTTTTTTCCTAATAGGTCACGACATAATCTATTGATTGGCAGCTCTTATCATTACCATGTGGTAGTGATGCTAAAGTACCTAACCAAGGCATTCTAGAAGTTCCACAGCCCAGATGGAACTAGAATAAAACCTGGGGACAATAACTGTGATCATATTCACCATTTGTTCCATATTGAGACGCTGTGCTGGGAATTACATTATCTCATTGACTCCATAGACCCATAACTCCACTAGATAACGCTATCTTTCTGTTATCAACAACAACAACAAAATTAAGGCTCAGTGCAACAAACTCTGTTTTCTAAAAATGGCCACAATCCACACGACCTTCTGCCATGTGACCTTGACATTTCCCAATCAAAAGGTAGACTCTATTTCTTCTTCTTCTTGAAACTGGGCAGGTTTTATGCCAAATTTGTTTTCGTTTTTGTTTTGTTTTTAAGAGATTTTGCTACAAGGCACATGCACTCGCCGGAGAGATGGAGAGAAATAGACAGACAGAAAGTGAAAAATCCACCTCCATCCAGGGAGAATGGCCATGCCACAATCTCTTCTCCTCCATTCTCCTCTCAGGATTCTAGGCACAAGTTTTAAGCTGCCAGGTCTGGAACTCGAACCGCCATTGATTATGAATGTAGGAGTCCAGTGACATAACCATTATGCCATCTGCTGGTCTCAAGTGCTTTTATTTTAAAAAATTATTTATTATTATTATTTTAAATTTGTTATAGGGCACGTCTGCTCACCAGAGACAGAAAGAGAGAGAAAGAAAGTGAGAAAGCAAGCCACCAGGTCCGGAACTTGAACCACAGTCAGTCAATGGGAGTCTAGTGCCCCAACCACCATGTCACCTGCTGGCCCCCTAACCAGAGTGCTTTTAAATGACTGAAGAGATGAAAGTGACATTTTGTCCATTCCAGGTACAGCTTTACTGGCTGGAAGCTGCTTCAGGAAACAGTTTCAGAGACATGAAGAAGCCAGGTGCAGGTGCTCTGGCCGACTCTGGCTGAGCCCTCGGCAGTCACCAGCTACCACAGCATGAGTACACCACCTGGGACATCCCACCCCAACGAGCCTTCAGACCACTGCAGCCTCCACTGCGCCTCACTACAGCAGCCTGAGAAAACCCAGCTGAACTGCCCAGATGAGTCTGGCCAAATTACAAAACTGGGAGCTATAATGATAAAGTTTGGTATTAAACCACAAGTTTAGGGGTAGTTTTGTGGCTTTAAATATCCAGAGTATTGAGATCAATTTACTTGCCTAGAAACATTTAAGTATCAGAGCCTGAATCCAAGAATCTGGAGCAAAACAACTATTAATGCTGCATGATGGGGACCTGGGGGTTCAATACCCAAAAGGGATGACGTTCGAACAAGCCTCCCTCTTGTCCTTCCTCCACCCAAAGCAGATTCAGAGTCTTCCAAGAAATGTCCAAGAATGGAGACTCCCTCAATAAAGCAATTCCCTTCTGTCTTGAGCTGTTCCAATGTACAACAGGGAAAACAAGGTTCTTCCCTACCACCCTGTGATAACTAATGAGAAAGGAATCTGTACAAGATGTTGACTTTCTTACTCAGAACTTCACTGCAACTGTTACATAAAAGGATGTGGATTTTACACATGAACCATAATTCTAATAATAAAAAATATATTTAATGACTCCCAGGACTGTGTTTGAGATTCACAGTGGGGATAGGGAAGCATGCAAACTATACCAATAACCGAATATGCCAAGAAGAAATTAGTGAATGATATTCTTTAAATGAAAGGATTTTTAGGAAGAAATTAAAGTAATAAAATTGGGCTTCAGAAACGTCTCAGTAAGAGAAAAATAATTTAACAAATGTTCCAGTATATGCTATTTCTAATATAAACTAGCGCCTACCTATCCCCTATATTTTTCTTCCTGTGACTCGATAGAGACATTCTTTATAGGACCTAGAAGGGGCCTTACGACTCATCCAACTTCACTCCAACAACTGAGAAACTGACAAGAAGGGCAGTTAACCAACAGAGTCAGATGCTGACTTGTAATAAAGTTAAACTCTTACTGCTGGCGCTACCATACTTTTGATTTTATCTTATCACAACTATACCTCCAAATGTCTTCAACGGATTTAAAATGTATTATAGCATGTCAGTGTGAAAATGAAAGATATCCTTCTTTGTAATTCCATCGAATAGGGCTGACTCTGCTTCCAGCACCCACAGACAGGTTAGGGACTGCAGAAGTATGCAAGTTTTCAGAAGCAGGTTGCCAAGTTACAGGCCCAGTTCTCAGTCACTCATATCTTAGTTTGAATTACTTTAACCAAATAACATGGCTGCCTTCCTGATCATCCCAAGAGACCTTGGAACTGATAAGCTAGGAAACTTAAATATATAGTAATTTTGGAGCAGAAAGGAAGATGGGAAAGGTAAGAGGGGGTATACAAGTGAAAGGCTTTGGGCACAGAAAAGAGGCAAAATGTATGTAGAAAGCAGGCTAAAAGAAGGGCCTCATAACCAAGGCACCCACTTAATGATTCTGTCTGGGGTGGCTAGTTTAGTTCCATGGCCTAGGTCTGCTTTTGGTCCTCCCATAAAACTACCCCCTACCCCAGAGAAGACCTTCAACCACAGACACGATGTGGTTCTATTCTGGAACTCTCCATGCAAGCACTCTACAATTCTTTGAAGCTCTCCACAATTCCATGGGGTTTACTGCAACCTAATCCAAAAAGGGCTACATTGGTCCTGGTGCACTCCACAAATTATACCAAACTGTCAGGGAAACAGGGCCCAAGTCCTTTTATTCCTTTCCACCCCCTGCTATGAAATTGTAGAGAAAGCCCCTGGGTGCTTTTTGTTGCCTGGTAGCTGAAATGTGCAACTTTGGAAGCTTTCAAGGAGAATCAAGAGGCCTAGACTAGCTACCCCAGCAGGGGCCAGTCCCCACTCAGTCTTCACAGCCTCAAAGTCACAAAGTTTCCAGCTCTAATAAAATCAGAATAGCTCACTGAGCAACCAGCCTCCCCACCACTCTTAAAACACTTGGGGAAAGTGGGGTGGGGGGGTCATTTCTTCTTCCTGTATTTGTAGCAGGGTTTGACTGCAGGGAGGGGGCAGTGGCTGCTCACAGGAATCTCATACAATCACTGGCGAAAAACTGCCTGTGAGTGATTGGTTATGATACCTATTCACGTGTCCTGCCTCATTATATATAGGGCAGATGACACGCTGACACAGAAAGTGGTCTCCAGTCCTTTCCGTGTCCTTTATCAAAACATGCGTGACCAATGCAAGATACTCCTACAGAAAATAGAAAATAAAACCACCTAGTAAAAGCAAGGCAGGAAGAAAGGCGATACAGAGCTCTATTAACTATTCTCACAGATGTATTTATATCAAATAGCTCAAATAAGCACACCCTGTGTTCAGAACGCTGAGGCGATCAGTGCTTGCGTTTTATCCCACACAGAACGGCAACTTGGAGCACCCCCCACGCCCCTACGGCCACGGCCACCATCTTTACTTTCCACGGGGAGGGGGCACCCACTGAGGAAGAGGATGGGATAGGATAAGATGAAGAGGGAAAATATCGTATTGTAGATGGTCTTGGAACCAACGTTGCCCCTGGTCCTAGAGAACTCTTTGTCTGCTTCCTGAGCACGTTTGCAAGATCACCGGGAAGAATGAAAACAAAACAAAAGAGTAGGCATGCCAGCCCAATTACAGTAGGTGCTCGGCACACTGTACTGCCGGGCGGAGCGTGGTTCGAAGCTCGTGCAGGCATTTGCTCTCTGGGTTCCTCGATAAAACATGTCTCACACACCTTTCCCTATGCATTTCTCCAAGGTTTTCCCCGAACGGCCCGCTCTGTGTCACTCCTTAAAAAGGAGGACGCGAGGCACGAACACATTGGAACATATGTGGACGGTGACTTGTTATTATCCTGACAATGATATATATAGAAATAAACCGCTCCGCCCCGCACGCCCACTGGCCAGTCTATTATGCAAAAGGAGCGCTTTCCAGCTGAAGGGGAAGAAGCGCTATTTACGTGCCCATCACAGAACCGCACACCACGGCATCTGCATCCCACACAAAGCCCGAGCTGGTGCAAGAAGATCCACGCTGAGCATGGCACAGACCAGCCGCGGCGACACGGAGCGAGCCCGCGGCCAATCAGATCCTTGGGGGAAGGTGGACCTCGGGGTCGGCTCTGGCCCATCAGCCTTCCCTGGATGACACCACGCTCTCCCAACATCCACATCCCAGCGGGAGCAAATCGAATTCGTGCGGCTGCTCATTTCTCTAACTGCCGAGTCCCTTCCCTTATCTGCGGCGCAGCTGTTCGTCCCTTCCAAAGCCACCCAAGGCCTGGGTGCCCCCTTCCCGGCTCCTTTTTTCTTTTCACCTCTTCGAATCCCTAGAAAGGATTGTATGTTTCGCTCCCAACGCGCAGGCAGGAGCCGCGGAAGGCTAACGCCGCTCGGGGTTCGGCAAGCGCCCGAGGGGCTGCGAAAAGTAAAGGCAGCGGGCAGCGCGGGGGCGACCGTCACGACCCGATCGGTCACAGGAGTTGCAACCCCGAGAGCGCTGCAACTTACCCAAAATATGACATTGAAGCCAAATATGAAGTATTTGATGCAACAACTGACTTCAGGACCTTTGTAGTGCTTCCCGGACATCCTCTGGGTTCATGAAGACACTTGCCCCGGCAGCCCGAGTTTGGAGCCCTGGAGCACCGGTGCTCGGAGCAGCCCGGCTCGGGGCCGCAGCTCGGGGACGCGGCACAGGCGGCCCGGGCTCAGCCGCGCGGGGACCGACCACGGAGAGCAGCTCCCGCACGTCCAGCCCCTCAGCGCGGAGGCCGCCGGCGCCGGGGTGGCCGAGGG